GAACAGTTGTATTAATAAACTCATGTTAAATATAAACATGTTTAAATAAAGTTCGTACAATAAACTACAATTTCAAGGTACCCAGCAGCGGCTATTTAAAAAATCAATTAAAAGCCAAGGGAGAGTATAAGAGTTTTTAAAATCCTCTTAAAGCAACCACTGCTGGTTCCATGTATATCACTCAGGAGGAAGTTCCCTGGGGTAGAGACTGACACCCAGAAGGTTATCAACCCCTGAACTCCCTCTCTGGAAATTATGTCTCTCCATCCCATGCTGATTTCACTGCCACATGTGGCATGTGGAGGAATCCACCACACTCTGGTCTTGGAGCTGGAAGAACAGGCATTTCTGACATGCTGCATAGATTGTCTCCAGCACTCGCTCTCTGTTTCAAAGTCACTTGATCAAAACAATGTCTGGCCCACCGTCTTGGCCAGATGGCCTGCACCTTGCCTTCTTCTTTGTCTGGCTCCTTACCTTCTGAAGAATTACATCTAGGCTCCTGCATCTCATAGCAAAATTGGAATGGAAACTGCTTCTCTTCGCATATGAGGGTTACGGCTGCCCAAGATGAAGCTTTGCCATGTGAAACACGTACACAATACTAGCAGCTGTGGCACATATATTTCAGAAAAGTGCGTGTCACTGTCTATATTATTCATCTCATGCTTTGATAGGTGGAAAGATCCGCAGTTCCTTGGCTCGCTTTTGTAGCCAGCTCAAAAATGATGGTGGCCACAACCCCACCACTTCCTTTGTCCCTGACCTTATGCAATCAGGGACAATCTTCTGCTTTCTCCAACTCCAGATCTGGAACTACTAAAGGTGACAAGCCCCATGGCCAGACAGCTCCCAAATGGGATGGCTCAAGATATTCAGTTGCCATGTAACATTACCATATCCAAGACCAATCCAAATTCTTAGGGCACCTGAGACACAAGTGCTTCTCTCCTTTCCTGGCTGTAAACATACAGTAATAATTTCAATAACTATTTGTTGCTCTTTCAGAAGACACAAGATCAGCCGCAGCTGCTTCATCCTTCCAGATCTGGAGCTAGGGAGTGGGCAAAATCAGCATACCACTTCCCAGGGTGATTGCAGCCCACCTCTTTTAATTCCAGAGTTGCACAGATATCTTATGCTTATTGTGCTCCTGAAAGAGCACTGGCACACTCACCATGGTAAGCGTGCCAAAGAAAAACTTGTGTAAACCTCTTTAGGTGGCATGTATACAAATGCATTACAGCTTGTGGCGAATCTGCTGCAATTTCAAGAGCAATCCTCTCTACCGTTCCTGGGCTTTGGTACTGTGTCCACAAATTGCTGAGAACTAGCAGACAACTTGGAAGCATTGTTAGAGGTGGCTTTGCAACGTTACACACATTTACATGTATACTGGATACTTTAAGTGTTTTTAAAAATATAATCCTGTTCTGAAAGCAGCAGCTTTTCATTGGTTTGAAGGATTTCTGTGAGATCTGAGATTTGATGTACATTATACTATAGGAAACAATAGAACCATGGCCAACTTGATAAGGTGTCCATTAGCATCTATTGTGCACAGAAGAAATAGCAAATTCCAACCTACCAATGGAAATACTAAAGAAATTGTAAGAGAAATGGACTGTTTTTTTATTGATTGATTCTATCTGTTTATCTAAAGTATTATATTCCCAGGGTGGTTTTCAATGAGAACTAAACAATTAAAATGTAAATACGAAAAATAATAAACAAAAAAGCCATAAGATCAGCATAAAATAGGCAGCAGATTAACATTACATCTAAAAACTTGTACAGAAAGCATTTCAACTCTGCTAAGCAGTGCAGTCCCATAACCTTCATGAGCTCAACATGTCTTTTTAGGAGGAATAGCAATTAATCCTTCCATTCACAACATGTTGTTCTTAGAAGTAATTTTATCAGGTTTCCATTGGGAGATGCTTCTGCTGATTGATAGTCCCATCAACTGTGTTTGTTCACAGAAACCTTTTGGGATATGAGTTACAGATTAGGAAGCCAGTGACTGGCCCTGTTTTCAGCCATCTTTAGGGACTGGTTATCTGATAGTTTTGTGATGGAGATGTTTTTGTTTCGTTTTTGATGTGTGCGCTTCAACATCTCTCATCTGGAGATCTATACAGACAATTTTCAATCAGACAAATTTTATTTGTTGAGATATGTCAGTTGATATTCTTTTGCCTGACATCTAAAAATAAGAGAAGAACCCAGATTGTTGTCGCATATTTAAGAGGCAACATATTTTCTTCAAAGGAAAATCAACACCCCCAGAATTTTGTCTTGCAAGGCTTTGGTTATAGATGTCACATAATGCTTAAACTGGAATTCATACCATGGATACTAGAATACTCTTCCATAACAACATTCCTAGTTCTGACCTTATGAAAAGCATGTGCTTGCCCTGTGAAACTCTGTCCCTGATAGCTGCTTCTGTAAGGCCCAGCACTTCCAGGAAGCACTGCTGTTGACAAGTCCTACTCTGTCCCTGAGCTTTTGCAGCTATTAGCCAAAACCCAGCCGTTGGCAAGAGCCCAGTGCCCATGGGTGCAACGGCATCAGACAAGCCCCCCAGGGAGCTTGGGAGGCCACTTCGTGCCTTTCCTTCACCACCACCGCCACCACGCCTTCATCTCTGGGTCAGCACGCATTCTCCGTTGAGAACTGATATTGTTTCATTCAGTTTAATAGAGGTGTGGGGAAGGTACCCTGCTGAAGATTGGCTGGAGGAGAAGGAAAGGCTGCCCTGCATCCTTGAGGAGTCAGGGCTCATGGCGGTGGACTTCCCCCTTCCTGCAGGATCAGGACTGGCAGGTTATGGCAGTTTGCCCCATCTCTGTCAAAGTCAATGGAACAGTATCACTTCACCGAGTCTAATAGAGCTAGGGACAAAAAGAGGAGACAAGTAAGAATTCAAGGAAGCAGAGCACTTCCAACATTTTAACCCCATGGCAATTTCTGATCGTGCCTGGGGCACTTTTTAAAAATGTGAAATGTGCTCATGGGCCAAGAAGCGTTGCCTACATGTGCCATAACCTGATCACAATTATTATTCATAGCTCTTCGTTGGCAAGATAATAAGCCTTCGCTCAGTTGGGGTTTTGGTAACTTCAGGAAGCTCTTTCAAAAAGCAACATTTTTATTAGTTCTTTCCTCTTGCCTCTCATGTGCTAGACTCTGGTTCTCACTTGACAAAATGTACCAGGCTCTACCAGGAGCTCATAGAGACAGGATGAACCACAGAGGTGGACACACCATCAAGTTAAACATCTCCTACTGGTCAGTGAAGAAAATTTAATTAGCTGTGAACAAAGAGCTGTTCAGTTGTTAGCTTTTTGTTGATTTATTTAAGGTGCCTTCAGAAAAATGCGAAGAAAGAGACTATTCTAAGGGGCAGTAATAAGCTGCCTCTATGCCTGTGAAGATTCTGAATTTTCTACCCGAAGTGAGCAGGAGGGGGTCAGTTATTCTTGAAATAATAAAGTAAAGCCAAAATAATAAGAAAAGCAGCTACCTTGGCAAAGGTGGAATGGTGGCAGGATTTGTTAAAGCATTGTCAAGAACTACCCATACCTTGGTGCAACAGAAATCTATTTTTGGATTCATTTTTTAATTCCTGTCCAGGTAGTGTCAGGCTTGAGGAGCAGTACCTTGGTGTCAGGTTCCTATGTAGCTACCTGAAAGACTGCCTTCTCCTGTATGTCTATCAGTCGAGAACAAAATCTAAGCTTTGTCTGTGAGTTCCTTCACCTCCAGATGATAAGGGGACGGTTACCAGAGAGAAAGCGAGCCTTTTCAGGGGTTGCTCTCTCATGGACATTTCTTCCTAGATAGATATGCTTGTCTGACACGGTTGTTGGTAGCTTTCACATGTTATGCTAAGTCCGCCTTGTTTGCCTGAACTGCTAACAGCATGTAATTTTTGGTGTGTGTGTTGTAAACTGCTGTGATGGTTTTTATAATGGAGAAGTGGATAAAAATGCCTTAAATAAATGTCTTCATGATATTTACAGTCAATGGCAGTCAAGATTGCAATGGACACGCTTTGACTTAACTTTGTAGAGCTACACTGACTTGCTGCTAGAACTCCTAGCTTAAACACAAAACCCTCATCCTTCCCTTCAAAGCTCCCCATAGCCTTGTCCATTCCTGCATGTATATCACTGCTTCTGACCCTGACGCTGTAGCTTCTCTCATCCATTCAGAGTCTCCTGATACCTTAAGTAGAGCTGCCCATTCTTCCCTGCACCCCCTTCCCAGAATGCCTTCTCTGAACACCTGCATAATGCCAGCTTTCTCCCAGTTCCTTAAAATCCTTGCTCATAGTTCACCCTGTCTAGGAATTGTTTGGTTCAGCCCTTTGGTCTTCAATCCCTACTGATGAAACTTAAATATTTCTAATTAAATGGAAGACATGTTCTCCCTGTTGATCCTCAGCACCTTTGTCCCCTGATTCTATTGCCACTCCCCAGACAATTCTTTTATTGCATCATCAATGCCCACTTCATTCATGAAATTTCTCAGGGGTCTAGAAAAATTGTCTTCTTCTCATAGCCAGTCCATGCTTTTTCCCAGTGCCTTTTCCATCTTTTTTCTTTCCACAGAAAATCCATTAAGGCAGAAAAGAAGGATTTACTGAACCATGCCTTCTAACTGATAGTGCCAGATGCCCTTTGTCAAGAAGCACCCCAAGTTAGGATATAAGGCCTTTTTGTTGTTGTTTTGTTGTAGAAGTGTTGTGGCACCTTAAAAATGCCAACACAGCTTATAGGTGGTGCTGTATATAATCATAATGATCAAAGTATCAAGCTTCATGGTTTCAACATTTAAAATTATTTTTCTTCACAAAAGCTTGCTATGCTGCTGCAGGCTCTGAGGTTTTGCTTTTCAAGTCTTACTGGAAGTCATCTTGCTGTATTCCGTGCTGCATGGTAGGCCAACAGATAAATAAGTTGATCCATATCTTGTCTTTTTATCTCTTTCAGGAATTGTTGGTCCACTTCGATTAAAGGCCACCTGCCAGCAAAGTGCAGAACATATGGGACCACAGACGTTCTCAGAGTCCCAGCATTCTCTTGGATTCATGCTGATGCAAATGAGTGCCTTTTACCTTAGTGGTTCACAAAAGCACCATGAATCCATATCCAGATGCCTATATGGACCAGTATGAATGGATGGATTTGGATATGAGGGAGAGTAATGCTGAGCAATGCTGGGGAACTGATGCTCTGCAAAACATATGTTGCCACCATCATTATTGTTCTTTCACTGAGGGAAGAATCCCCATACACATATCTTGTTTCTAATAAGCATTCAAGTCAGGATCCTTCATTGAGAAATAAAATTGACCCCTGTTTGTCTTCACTGTTACTCAACGTATGCACCGGGAGATGTTGCCTTTGTCCTTGTTCTTTGGAATAAGGCATCTGAGAAGTATGAAGAAATACCAGAATCCCACTTGTTTAGAGTCAATACTAAAACTAGCGAGTGCTTGTGTGTGGATGTGTTTGACACAGACTGAGTCTCCCCTCCCTTCCCCTCCCCTCCCCCTAAAAACAATAAAGAATGTTTTGTGGTTACTGTGTGTTGTGTCAGGTGTTTTCTGATGCCAAGTTCAAGAATGACTCCTCCTCCCTTGTTGGTGCCTTTACTGTCAGATTTGATTGCCTCCAAGTCAGTGTTGAGAACATAAAAACTGTTGATACATTAAAAATCTCATTTGTTTCATGCTTAGGAACTGGTTCAGATAAGTCGGAAGGGTACACACATCCCAGGTGGAAGAGAGAGAGCTGGGGCAAGCCAAACATCAGAAAGATTTCACCCTACTTCGCCCTTTGTGTCCCTTGCTGTAACTCTCTCTCTCTGTGCCACTTTATTTTGCCTTCCTTATTGCCCCTCAGAAATTCAGAGGAGGTCATGGAGTACCTCATCTGGACAATGCAGGAACCAAGGTATTCCAGTCCGTTTTCAGTGAACTTCCTTAATCCAATAGTCAGAGCTGGGCAGCTCTTAATTGATTAGGTAAGTTTGGTTTATTGACATGCCACTTTTCCACAATACACATGGCCCAAAGTGACTCACAATAAATGTAACTTTATTGAAATACATCACATTTGGGAGAGAAGGAGCAATACTAATTTCACTGTGTTTTTCTAGTCTAGGTTTTTGGTCATTTTCTGGCTTTTCTGCATCCCCTTTCCTAATCCTAAAAGGCTGAAATCCTCCTTCCTAAGATGCTTAATCACTGGAAATAAGTACAGTGGTACCTTGGCTCACAAATGCCTCAGTTCAAAACCAAATCGGGTCGCGAACAAAAATTTCATAAAACTTTTGACTTAGTCGCGAACTCCACATTGGGTGGCGGCCGCGTTTGGGGAGTGGGGAGATGGCCACAACCGTGCCGGGGGTGAGGGGGAGATGGCCGAGATCGCACCCGTCTTTCCTGCAGGAGTGCAACTACGATCTCGGCCATCTCCCCCACCCCAGCATGATCGTGACTGTCTCCCCCCTCCCACGTGCCCATCTCTCCCCCTCCAGCACCGGGATGATGGGTGTATGCAGGGATGACAGGTGTGATCACGGAGGTGCTGGGGGTGGGGGTGGGGAGATGGCCGCGCTTGTGCTCGGGGTGTGTGTGTGGGGGGGAGATGGCCGCGATCTTTGTTGTTCTTTGTCACTTTGCTTCACATTTTTCTGATTAAAAAAAACAGTTACAGAACGGATTAACCTCATTTACATTGAACCTTATGGGGAAATTTAACTTGGCTCACAACCAATTTGGGTCACAACCAGAGTCCTGGAATGGATTAAGTTCGTGAGCCAAGGTACCACTGTACTTTAAAATGTGCTGATATTTTTGGCCCACCCCTTTTGCCTGCAGTGCCATCCACCCCTGGATTGTGTCCCTGCAGCTAATCTTCTCTGAAATGGAATTTGGCCCTTGCCCTGAAAGACAGCCTGCATGCCTGTTCTATCCCAGAGTACATTTTCTGAGGCCTGCCTTCCAGTGAATGGGTTGGGTGGAATAGAATCCTGCCCCCACAATCCTGCCTGCACTTACTAGAGAGTAAGGCTGCAACACAACAAGATTATGCAGGGCTGCACCGTTAGGCACCAAAGTTTCGTGAGACCAGAATTAATGAAAAATTAATGGATGTAAAAATGGTCATCTCCACACCTGATGCAACCTCCTCCAATTGCCAGTGTCCCTAAGAATAACTCACAAGTTCTCACTCTTGTCTTAGGAAAGGAAGAGGTTTTTCCTCCCCATTTGGACTATAACTATTAAATTATTTTAGAGAGAGGAGCTTATCCCATTTGTTTTGGAAGCTTTTACACTTCCTTTCTGCAAATCATTTCAAAGTGGTGCACCATAAATGTAAATAAAAGAATATGAAAACAGCATCATCTCAAATAACACAATCAATATATTTTTTTTAAAAACCTAAACAAAATAATTAGAAACAGCAGGTACTCAAAAATGTCAGAGCTAAATCCCCAACAAACAGACATTATTATACAATGAATAATTCAAACAGACATTATAACTCTCTGTAAAACATTGTAAGAGAAAGAGCCAAGCAAAGGGCACTCTGTTGTTCCCATGTGGCAGAAATGAGAAGGTTTTGCTTGTTGTATTGACCAATATCACCTCTGAATAAGTTGGAACTTGAAGCAGGCAACTCCCAAGGATGTGAAATTCAGAGATCTGTTGGCCCTCCTAATCATCTTTCCAGTAGAAGAGGGGATGGAGGCTCACTTAAGAAACACTCACAAGAAGATACATGGTGCTAATAAGAGAGGCACATTGGGCGAAGAGGAATCAAGAAGGAGCTCACATTTTCTTAGGGAATTCTCAAGTCAGCTATAGGCCTTGAGGTTGGTTGAGGTGTGTATTCTTTGCTTGAAAATACTCTTCTATGTCCTGGCTGGCTTTGACCTAATTTTGCATTTTAGCAGCTCTCAGTCATAAGTATGCTAGGGCTTCTTTATCTGGCTGTGTTGGACAATTTTCCCTTTAGGCAAGTGTAATACATTTTCCATGTTCTTTATATAATGAGCTTTATTTACCAAATTGGCAATTCCTCTGTTGAGAAATAACTGATTACAGCATTCAAGGAGCTGCTGTCATCTCAAGATATGCAGGTGTCTGTGGAACATAAACAGATGTGATCATTCACAAAATGAACCCAATTCAGTAGAGGTGTGGTGGAGAAGGGAGGCTAATTCCAACAGAAAAATTCAAATAAAACCTTTTCAGCCTGATTCAGGCAAATGTGGGCAAGATGTGTCAGAAGCATGTAACTGCCCCGGCCACAGTCAGAATTTCAAAGCATTCAGTAACACAACCCGCTTGACTAAGGGGTTGCAGGATTTTGTGCTTGCCTATATGACAAGGCTACCTAATTCGAAATTCATGGAAAGGAAGCATAATTGACATACAGACTCACTTATGTAGCCTCTGTACGTAACATGAGAGTCGCATAATGGACGCCTCAATGCAAAAAGAATAAAGGACATATTAGCACATGAACTAAAAGCTTCAATGTTTGTTAATTCAACCCTAATTTTCCAACCATCCAAAAGATTTAAAAAATGCAAGTCCCGCCCATCCATATATGATTCCACAATGCACTCGCATAGGGCCCACATCTTAATAGAAGAACATCTGGCTGGCTGGCTGGCTGGCTGGCTTGCATAAGATACCTGCATCAGGTCCTATTTAAAAGATTTGGGAAAGGAGACCCAGCACAAGTCTCTGCTAACTACCATAAGCAGAGTAATAGCCTTCTCCTGCTTGTGTTATGCAGCAGTTGGCATACAAAGGCATGTTGCCTTTGATACTAGAGGTGCTGTACAGAGAGGCAGTGCTGCACAATGGTTAGAGTTGAACTGGGACTCAGGAGATTTGGGTTCAAGTACCCACTCAGCCACAGAGCTCACTGGGTGACTTTGTGCCAGTCACTGGCTCTCAGCCTCACCTCCCTTGTGTGGATAAAATGGGGAGGAGGAGGATTAGGTAAGCTGACTTGGGTTTCTTATAGAAAGAAGTGATATAATAAGTCAAATAAAATATATATCACAATCATTACTAGTAACTATTAATAGCGCCATCAGTCCATGGGTGCAATTGTACTCCAACCCTAAAGAAACACATGGGTTGCTTTTGCTGAACAGAAGTCTTACAGGTTTGAGGACGCCGTTCTAGGAGAAACCTCCATCCTGCTCTGTTGTCTTCTTGAGTGCTGACCTCTTTCAACTTGACTGCTGTCTCTATGCAGTTGGAATCTATGTGTTCTAAGGTGTGCAGGAAAACAAGGCAAGAAAACTTGTGTGGCTGTGTTTAAATGCTGGGCACAAATAGAGGGACAGTTGCCTTCACACTCAGTTTGGAGACTTCTCAGGAGCATCTGGCTGTGGTTGGAAAGAGAATACTTGAGTAGAGCAGCTTTCTGCCCCCACCCCAACCCCAATGTTTTGAATCTCCGTTCTCATCTGCTCCAGCCAGCATAGCTGACAGTCAAGGACACTGGATGTTTTGGTTCAAAGTACCAGGTTGCATTGCATCAGGTTGCACAAGGTTGGCCTAGTAGGAACATCAGCCAGTGACAGCAATTCTCTTCTTGGGGCGTTTGAGGGGGAAAGAGAAGAACAGCAGGGAAGGAAAAGACGGTCCTCCTTCCAAGGTCGTCTCCTAATTTGCAAATGGCAATCTTCAAGGAGTTGGTGGCATGCCTGTGTGGGGCAATGACGTTTCCGAGGCTGAGCATGGCTCTGAGCCTGACTGTCCCATAGCCAAGCCCAGTGCGCTAGCCCACTGACTGGCACTGCACCTGTGGAACACTGACACAAATTGAGATGCAGTAGTCCTATTGTTGTCACATACCTTCAGCTGAACCTGCCTTGTTCATTCTGTGCTGGTTACACAAATTAATGGAGGGCATCATGCTGTACCTTGGCACCTGGTGCTTTGTAAATGGCTATTCATGGCCCAGCTTCTGCTGCTGGTCTAGTTGTCTGATCACTAAATACTCTGGGGAGGAGTCAGAACTGAATTACATGAAGACTTATAACACATTAAAACATACATTATAGCTTAAAACTTTTTCTCAGCATTTGGACTACAGACAATGTAGTGATGAACAGGTATTCCCATCGTGCCATAGCAGTTAGATTGACCCAGTGTTCACTGAGTACAAGCTTCTAAGGAGCACACTAAGACGACTAGGAAGACAGAATTGTACATCAGCTTGAATAGTGAGAGAGGATATTTGTCTGAGCTTCCATTTGCACAACATGATAGATCACCAGCAAACAAGGCTCCAAATCCAACATCTCTTTATTAATTTTTACTAAATTTCACACAACTGCCAACATTTTAGACATGTCTCTTAGCAAAGTTGATTTGATTTCTGTGGGAATATGCATTTTGTGCAGCAAATTCATAAGTATGGACAAATTAACTCGGGTGAGGGGAAAAAGTGAAAATGGGTATATATTCGCATATAGATAGGTCTGAAACCATTGATAGATTAGTGTCATCAGGAATATGGTTGCGTATTTCAAGCTGAAATCTGAG